CCCGCGGAGCCGGGAGGCGCCTCCGCGGTTTGGCGGGCGGGTCCGGCGCCGTCGGGCGTCCCGGGCTCCCGGTGACCGAGCGACCAATTCGGCCGGGCGTACGGGTGAGTGACGGCGGCCTCCGCCAATGCCGGGGGAGCCCGGGCCGGGCGGGCTGCGGCCGCCGGGGCTCTGCCGCCGCCTTCGTCTGCGGCCCTGGGGCGCCCGGGCCGGGGCTGTGCCCGCGGGGAGCGGGTTTAAGGCGAGGACCCTCCGGTAGCCCCGGGTCTCCCCACGGCAGAAGTACCGAGTCCCTTTTCTCAGTCTGCCGGCCGCTTGCGTCCTGGCCGATGTCAGCTCAACTCTTTTAGGATATACAGTAATTCCACTGAGGCATCTTTTCACCTCTTTTAGAGCTGTTAAGTTTCTTTTGTTATTAGGGGCGTAGGAGCTTGGAGATATATTGGGAATGTGATAACATGCAGGCTGTCCATGCTTTTAAAAATAAACCTCTTCTCTTTAAAATAGGATTCCACAGCATTGGTTTAGATTGTCATGACTGTACTTGGTTTTGTTTTGTTTTGTTTTTTTTTTAACTTTAGAGCAAGCCTTGCCACTCTCCCTGACTGGAATGGAGATTTCTTCCCACCAGTTTCACCTCCTGGAGCAGCTCAACGAACAACGGAAGCAGGATTTGTTCTGCGACTGCAACATCCTGGTGGAGGGAAAGGTCTTTAAAGCCCACCGCAATGTGCTGTTTGCCAGCAGCGGCTACTTCAAAATGCTCCTCTCGCAGAGCGCGAAGGAGACGAGCCAGCCGACGATCGCCACTTTTGAGGTCTTCTCTCCAGAGACATTCATGGTTATCCTGGACTTTGTATATTCAGGCATATTGTCTTTAACCGGACAAAATGTGATCGAAGTCATGTCAGCTGCGAGCTATCTGCAGATGACAGATATCCTTAATGTCTGTAAGACATTCATTAAGTCCTCACTGGATATTAATGAGAAGGAAAAGGATCATTACCTCAGCCTCTCCGCCAAGAGTACAAACAGTGAACCTGCCAATCCATCTCTTTATCGGTCAAGAAGGAAAGCAAAGAGCAACCCGCGGCGTTCCTATTCAGTCCCGGAAGAAAAGACTAACACGGTGAATGAAAATTCCTGGAGCAGTTACAGCAGTTACCTGTCCTCGCAAGTCATTCTTCAGCGGGCAGAGACACAGCTCTCCAAAAGAGGCAGAAAACAGGGCTCGACCAGAAAGCGCCGAAAGCACCTGGGGTTGTCGCAGAGCCGGGATTTCGTGCAGAGTAAAGCGAACAAAGCTGAGCGGGCGGGCGGAGGCGGCAGCGTGTCCGAATCCGGGCACATCCCTCGGGCTGGAGAGGAGGCTGGATTCGACGCCGAGAACGACGCTGGTCAGGATGGTTACGGATATAATCACGAAGCAGAAGTGATACCCAAGAGATGGTCCGTCGCTCAGCTCGAACAAGAGCTTTCAAGAACTCCCGAGTTCATGGAGTTAAAAGCAGAGGAACTGTACACCTCCATGCCCACAATTTTAGGTGTCATGAGTAGTTGGAATGAAGGTAAAAAGTTTATCTTTATTTGGAAGAATCAAGATGATCTTTTGGAGAGAATCTGTGTAGCTGCATTAAAATCCAAACGATGAAGAGAGTTGCAGGTTATTTCTTTGATCTATTAGAGGGTAGTGCCCAACAGGATGAGAGAGACTTTGCAGCCAGAACAGAGTGTGAGAACTGGAACTGCAGAGCTTGACCCAGGCATTGTGTAAAGTTAAAATAACACACACCAGATCATTTGGACCCAAGCAGAGTTTCATGAAGCCTAAAGAGCTGTAATGGACTTGGGGACCTGAAAGGCTGAATTTCTCTTGTAATATCCCCAATACCTGGCAAAAAATTGAGGCTTTCAACCTAAATCCAACGCAAGTCCTTCACAAGAGAAGGTCCTGTCACTGGCAGGATGCTGCATTTCCCTTGAGGTCAAAACTAGCCCAAATGTCAGGATTGTTTGGCCACACTTCATAGAGCATCTCAGGTCTCCATGGCCTGAGAGCACAGCCCTCGGTGGAGTAAAGCTGACAGGTGTATTCTTGCCTGCATTACTTTGGAAACTAGAGGATCTATATTTTACTATAATTGCATAATTTCAAGACATTGGGCATCCTAGTATATTACAGAGAGATTATAAACCTCAAAGCTATGAGCTGTTAGCTGACGGAATAGGCAGATGTGATGACTGTATATTATAGCTATGTGTTTATGATCATCTTTATGTCTAAAAAAATACCCCGAGTGAGAGAGAATCCACTATGAAATGCCATTTAACACACACAATAAGAAATACTGTGTTTTGGGAATGAATGAAAATGAAGAAAAATGAACTGCTGCTTATTTAAGCTGAAAAATAATGAAATTACTACATAAAGAAAGGCTGCTCTACTTGACGTTGTACCTGTATTTCTCTCTGACAGATGACCTCCCTCGGATGCGATTCAAATGCCCCTTCTGCACGCACACAGTGAAGCGACGCGCAGACCTGAAGCGGCATCTTCGGTGTCACACGGGGGAGCGACCGTACCCCTGCGAGGCGTGTGGGAAGAGGTTCACCCGGCTGGAGCATCTACGGAACCACTTCCAAACGGTACGGCATTTCCGGCAGGGTTCAGCCTGGGCAAAAACACCAGGAGATGTCACTGGCACCAGCTGGGTGCTCGTTTCCAGTCCTAATCCCAAAAAAGCTTCCTAGCTGCACACCAATTATTAATTATTTAAATTGGCAAATTATATTTTTAATTTTGTTTTTTTTTTTAGAATGATTGAGTGAATTATCATCTTCTAAAAAAATAAAAATATTATAAAATTAAATCTGCTTTTGGATGAACACTGACATTTTCAAATTTGAAATCTCTTTAGATACATCAGGCTGGCAAACTGATCTGCAGAAAATGCAAGCGCCACGTAACCGACCTCACAGGATGTGTTGTTCAGCAGGGAACAAGACGCTACAGACTGTGCCATAAATGTCTAGCAGAAGCTAATTTTGACAGCATCCCTGATGATTTAGATGCAGAACATTCTCCTGTCTCCTCCACGGGAAACAAATGTTCCAAATGGGCTTTGGAGGAGGAACAGAAATCAGAGGAAGAGACAATGGAGGAGGAACCCTATAACTTGGTTGTCCGACACGTTAAGGATGATATTCCAGATGAGGCAGAGGAAAAGGTGAAACCAAATCTTAGGTAGATATATTTGTGTATACTTGTTACTGTTGTATTCAAGATTAAATTACTTGTCTCCTACCAACTATTGCTGGTTTATTACTTTCATTAAAATGAAATAATGCTAAGATTCTATTATGAGAAGCAAAATAAGGACTACAAGTTGTTTTAGAGACAAGCAACAGTGTAACAGCTTCTAAGTATCATCTAGAAAGTACTTAGAAAGATTGGTTTCTATTTCATCGGATTTGCTCAGAGTTCCTGTTCATAAAGCAACTGTGATCCAATTTACAGTCCTACAAAGATTCTATACAACATAAATTTTTAAAAAACAAATATTGATAATTTGCTTTGAAAAAGTCTTCCTAAAGCAAGCAGCTAAGAAATGTAAACCCCATTTTTGTTGACACTGTAATTTACATGTATATACACTTCAGAAACTTCCTAAGAAAGGAGAAAACAAGTGGAATTCTTTCTGGTGAAGAACCTATTTAGAAGAGCTTTGTTTTCTGAGTGAGCTTACCTGCTTCTTATATTTGAGAAAAGCATGATTAGTTTTAAATAATACACACAGCCATACAAAGTAGAATAATGAACAGAGTATCTCTAGTGCACTTGGATAGTACGAGTTTGCCTTTTCAGATATGCAGTGGGTTTGTACTGTGAATTTTAAAGAAAGATACACTAACGTGGTTCCAAGGAAATAAAGTGCAATCACTGGAAGTACAGTTGTCAGGTTTTTTCCATTTTTTTTTTTTAGGACTGGTGCAAGATTTGCTTAAGTTCCTGTCTCTTATGCTAAAATAATAAAGAGGACAAGTCTGTTTAATTTCAGTGGGACATTTGGGACTTAGATCATGGAGCTACTTTAGGAAGGCTTCCCTGCTTGTGTAAGTTTAGGATGCTTAAAAATTGCTTAACAGTCAGCATAAAAACATTGTTTATAAGGACAATTTCCCTCAGAGTTTAAGCCACCCTTGTAATTCTAGAGTCTTTTCAACTTTTTCAGTAGTAATTTTTTCCCCCAGTCATTTGGGTCAGAGGACCTCCACTTGCTAAAGAAACTGAAGGTGCTCAGTACTAAAGTGATAAAAAGAAATAATAAATACATCTCTGAACATTTAGAAGAAACATTCTGAGTGAGAGCAGAGAATGACATTCCCAGTAGGTACTCTTGATAAAAGAGCCACTGTTTGGTCTCATGTCTCATTTTATGCTATGTTTTCTTTCCTGTTAGCTGAATCTGTAGCTCGAGGTTACTGCCAAGCAAGCAAAAATTCCCTGTAGAGAACTTGAGAACAGCCATATTGATTCACATCAAGGTTCTCCCTGTCTCCAATAGCTGCCCTTAACAGATACCTAGGGAAAAGCAAGAACAGGGCAAGGCCTACTAAGCTTGCTCAGCTAACAGCAAGAAAAGAAGGGTTTGCAGTTTAAGCATGTTTTTGAATTAACCACCTTCAGGTAGTTAATTGTCTCAGAGGGCCCCAGCTCAGTGAGAGACTATGGCCAGCTGTGGGGCTTCTGTAACGTACTGGGAGAACAGGACTTCCAGTAAACACACTGCTGGCTGAAACCTGTCACTCCCCCAGCTGTGGAAATGGAACAAGGTGAACTTAAGGCCTGGTTTTATACTAAATACTTAATAAATATTGGGAAAAAAAATTACTAACACTTACTTAGTTAATTCCAAGTGCTTTCCTAGCAAGTTCCTGTCACCATTTCTGAAAGCAGAGCACTTTAATGTGTTACTATGTTCTGTAACTGATGGTATACACAGGGCATCTCAGCCCTTCCACAAAGTTAAATTTTAACGAGATAAAATTCTGTTCTCCCATTCTAAAGGCCTGGGTAATAGGCCACCGCCCTCCCGCTGTCCCTCAGCGCCGGCGCCCAACGGCCGCAGCCGCCTCCTCAGGCTCTGTGGAGAACAAAGCCGCCTCAACTCGACGCCTGATTGGCTAATCCCAGTCGCCTCACACAGCCAGCCAATGAGGTGTCAAAGCCGCGCTGAGGGGCGGGAGCCGCGCTCTGCCTGTCTCCACCCGCCATGTCCCTCACCGGCCCGGTGCGGCCCTCACCTCCGGTGGGATCCGGCCGTTTGCCGTGCTGAGGGAAAGCCCGGAGCCGTTCGCGTCGAGCTGCTCAAGCAGGCAAGCCCAGGCCTCGCCCTTCCTCCACAGCGCCGCTGTGTCCGGCCTGTCACTGCAGTGGACAATTGCTGGAGCCCTGGGGCTGCTCCTGAGGAGGGAAGAAAGCCCAGTGTGTGAAAATCATACTTTTTTTTGTACCATCAAGTAGGTGTATTGTCATTCTTACGAAAAAAGTCAACTCACCTTAGCACACAGCAAAGCACACATGTAATTAAAAATCCACTGGCCAAAATTATTCACACACAAATCCACGAAGTCTTTCAGTCTGAGTTTTATTTCGGTGTTGACACTTTCTCAAAAAATAAAAGGGATTTTATCCCACACCATGGAAATAAAACCCCGATTTATTTAAGATGACTTTACAACAAAGCAAAGATGAGGTGCCACCTCCAGAGGTGAGGCACTTGTAGGATTTACATTAAAAAAAATCGCAGGGCAGGCCAGCACCCACTGTCCCTCACGCCATGCCCTCTCACAGGTAAATACCAACAGCGGGTAACAAGCATTTCCTGCCCTGAGATTTAAAACAAAAGACACTTTTGATTTTTTTTTTGATTTAGTGAACTGAAGTCCACAACCCTTTGCTGTTAAAGGACTGTCTGCATTTGTCCTTTCCAAAGGAAGAAATGGAAGCCGATTCATATCACCTCGTTTAAAAGAAGAGAATCGGCTTTTGCAAGACATAGGTGGAGAAAATCCAGTGAATCCCCCTCTCCCTCACAAAGCCACCTGCTTTTTAGTGATAACCGGTGCTATGAGGATTCCCTGTACATGATCACATGCTTTAGATTGCACGTGGAAATCTATTTACAGCAATTCAGCACCACCTGCTGGCATGATTTATTTTTTTTTTAAAGTAGCCTAGAAGGTGTGGTGGTTTGTTTTTTTTTTTTCATTGGTATACTTTCTTAGGTGTCCTTTGAACAGCCAGAATTTTTTATATGTTAAATCCAGTCCACTGCAGATATTTTGGCCCTTTTATATGACATGGAGGAGGGATATCACCTCAGAATTAGAATGCTTAAATCTGCACATGATACCAAGTAGATGAACATTATCTCCTGCCACTCTGCAAAAAGATTTTAGCCAGCAGCTCCACTAGTTTCTCTAATTAGTTCAGATAGCACCTAAGAAATTTATCAGCCTTAAAAACTGGCTACTAACATTCCTGAGAGACTTTCAATCCCTGCAACTCTGTCTCTCCTCTTCTCAACGCCCTCCCAAACCCAACTAGATCTTTTTTCCTGGCATGTAGGTGTCTGTCTCACCACCCTCAAGTCAAAACACAGGCTGACATTCCCCACAATTGCTCCCTTCCCAATTTATGACTTGAATCGGCCAATTCCTTAGTTACTTCCACAGGGGTTTACAGTTTTCAAGGGACTTTTGCCGGCTGATGACAAGTATCCCCTTGACCACACTCTTCTGGCTTTAAATATCAATGATGACGAAGACTTCGGGCTTTTCGTCTTCACAGATCTGCATTGCTGAGTAAGTTATGGCTTTGACCTCTGTACCCTAGGGAGAAAAGACATAAAACCATGAATTTTCTAAATACACTGTATTTAGCACCTTCTACAGATGTTATCCAGTTTAATAATTTTTCTTCTTTCCCCCCCAAAAACCTGTAACTGCATTTGTTCCAATGAATAAGAAAGTTGACATATTAATGGCAAGGACTTGGCCAGGCAAATACTAAGTAACTCTTCCCTGATTTTACTACCTCTTGAATACTATGAATTCCTCCCTTTACCTCTGACAGAACCTCAGCATTTGCTGTGCTAATACAGACACAGCCAAAGAGATAAGGATTTGCTTCTAGCAATTCTTTAGGGGAAAGAGAAAAAAAAAAAAAAGCAGCAAAACCTGACTTAGCAAAAAGCCACATATACATTCTGAATATAGATCGGTTTACTGTGTCATCAGCATTGCAAAAAAGGAAGCCAACTGTTGAGTTTTGCTAGCACTGAGGAAGAATCAGACACAGCCCAACACGAATTCATTTCAGGAATGAATTCACAAAAAACAGGCAGAAAGCCAGATTTTAAGTTTAGTGCCTGTGAAACCATTGAGACGGGTTTATACTTGGATCTCACAAGATTTAAGACACCATCCCTCCTCATCCTACCCCCAAAAGGTAAGAGATGTACAGGTGAACCACAGCGTACCTGAGGGTGTTTGGGTAAAGAGAACTCTTCTCCCCACCTTTAAAAGCAAAAAGAAGAGAGGTGGTTGTAATTTTGGAATTTACCAAATGTTATAACTTGTTTCAATGATGAGCATAGAAAGCGAGACTTTCATTTAAAGCATCAAAGGACAAAAAAAGAAGCCCCACAATCTGCTTTTTAGAAAGCATCAGTGAACTCCAGCACATCAATGGTATTTCTGAGCGCTGACTGTGAAGGCAGTATGTGCATTTTCAGTAAAGATATTAATTACTCAACCAATTGTTTATGCTCACCCAATTGATCTTATTTTGAATTGCATTCGGTCGATGTAAAGCACTTTCACCTCCTGCAGAGAAAGCGAGAGGAGAAATCTGTCAGTAACGTCTTCTGTCCTCAGGCAGAAATTCTCAGTAAATCCCATTTACAAGGGTTATATCCCACTGTTTAAATGGAATCTAAAACCAGAGAACCGGAGCAGCCTCAAAGAGATACACTGCAACTTAGCACAGGAAGGCAGCAGAGCTGCCCCTACAGTGTAATAGCAGCTAATAATTGGTGTTTGTGTTAACAAAGCTTAATAATTTGTTTCTCAAGTCTTTCTACCCTGGGATTTTCAATTCTCCATGTGTTGTGCTTAAGTGATCTGTTGTGTCCCTTTTTTTTTTTCCCCTGAAGTACCATTGCATTCAGAGCTGGTATTATCAGAGAACAGCCTCGACCTACAAATGGAAAGAGATCAAAACAGAACACTTACCCTGGGTATAAAGAACTCATTAGCGCTGAATTTATACAGCCACTCATCCAAGAAGTGGAAGAGGAGAGACAACATGTCATGTCCTGCGTGGTGGAAGCAGAGAAGATCATCAGTTGATTGTCTCAGTAAGAACACTCAAAGGTTTTTAAGAGTATGTCAGATGTACAGCTTCTGCGCTATTAGAAGATTCAGATTAGTGACGCTTAATTAGATTTTAATTAACTGCAACAAAACTACATCTAAAGATTTAAAACCCTCAGGGTTTATACAGTTCCAGTATAAAAAGTCGACGCAGCTTTACCTTCTGCCTCTACCTCGACAGTATCCACAGGTTCCACCGTCTCTGTGTCAGTCATGTACCCAAACATGGCCATGACGCACTGCTCAAACGCTTCCTCCAAGGTGTCTCCCCAGGCGTGGAGCCTAAAAAGACATGGGATCATCTACCAGACCGTAACAAAAATAAAATAAAAATATCCCAAAGTAATATTCAGGTGAAAAATCAGAACGTGAGAACGCAGAGGAAGTGAATGAACAAAATTACTTGCTTTATTCTATACCTATTACCTACACATTTGGACAGATTTTACAAGAGATTTTCCTTGTCAGAAGAGCTTCCTGGGAAAATATGGTAAATAGATGTTTTACCAGACAGCAAGAAAGCTCTTTCCTAACATGGCTAATTGATGTCTATAGAATTGAATTACTCGGAAGAAATTTGGTTTAAAAGGAAGAGATTCAAAGGACACTTCAAAAGACATTTCTAAACAACAGAGGCTTAATCCAAAGCCCCATATTAAATTAGAAAATGTGATTCTGTGCTCTCCCCGAGAGCAGAAACAAAACTGACCATCAAAAACCCCAGTGAGTGACATATCATGGTTCCACAAGGTATACACCTGCAAACCAGTCTTCGACAGGTTTTCCAGATTTATAGCAGTGTAAGAAATAATCAATTTGCCATATTAAGAAATCCCATCTGCCTGTACTTACTGCACATCCGCTGTGTGATCCAGATCTGAGGGGGAAGGAAAAAGAAAAGGCATGACATCACCAAAAGTATTTTAAAAATGAGGATTAAAAAAAATAATAATCAGATACTGTTGTTATAACAATAACTTTTTGCATTCATTTTCAGATGAGAGACGGTGATAATCTATTTTCCAGCATATTAGAAAAAGGTAGCACAGGTGGAATCTTGGATTAATTCTGCCAAGCAGAAAAACAGTGTTTAATATAATTATGTCAGCACCCTACACATACAGCACCGGTGCAAGGTACGGCTGCTGTAACGCAACAGGCTTCTACACGTTCCCTGCAATAAAAAGAAACTTTAACCAGGAGTAAAGGGGTTTTGCTGAAGTCTGCAGGACTGAAAATTATTCATGCAGAGGATGAGATTTAGAAATATTTCCACCTCAGTGAACAAATATACCTGTCCACACCCAAAACCACTCATTATGCAAAAAGGAGAACTTTAAAAAAAGTACGTAATACAAAATAGAAAGCAATATTCACTAATAAGGTAGGATTAACACCCCAAGTATGCATCAAGTTTTACATGAACATCATTTATATTCATTTACAAGAATGAAAGAAATGCAAAATTTTAACAAGTTGGGAGAAACAGAGCTAACTTGGGATGTAAAATAAAAGCCACATCACGATCACTAACTGAAAGACTGTTCTGATGCTGTTTAGATCATTCACACACTATTAATGGATTCTCAACAACCGTCTCTAAAGCAAACAAATTCCAGTGGATATAAAAGAAGAATGAAACCTCTTCCAGTTATGGCAACAGCGTGACTATTGTAATATGTCACCATATTTCTGCACTGCTATCAAATAAAGCTCTGAATGCATCTAAAAATACAGATTCTAACACAGTCATAGACACTGTCCTTCCAGACAGGAAACAGAAAAGAGTCAGACACTGAATGGTCTCCTGTGAGCACCTGAAGCAAACCCTTGGGCTGCCACCCACTTGCTTGACATGTTCTTAGAAGGCATTCCAGGGGTGGGGAAAGGGAGAGATAATGATCTTTAAGTAGTTTGTGTAGGAGAAAAAAAACCACATAGAAGACCAGCACACTCCTGAATATCAATTGCTGTCTAAGAGAAGTAGAAAAATGTACTGCCTTTGCTAAGAAATAGCTTGAAAGGGGAAAGATTTCAAGGTGAGACTTATGAATCTATTTCCATTATTATTTCTTTAGCACCCATAACAAGAAAGGCATTTATTTGTGGTGAAGAAAACTGTACATATCTCATCTCTATTAATTCAACTACAGATGCATCCTGCAGTCTAGACACACTGGCACGTTAAGAAACCCCACATCTGCTTAAAAAACATATCCTGCTTCTTTCCTTCCCCTTCCTCCCCCTCATGGTTGCACCATCACACACACCGTGAGTCGGGATAACGTTAGAAAATACTCACATTCATATTTCTTGGTGAGGGGTGGATATTTGGCTTTGATGGCCTTCTGCTCCTCCGTCAGGTTGTAGTCCCTCTCGTCGGCTGCCATGGCTCTGGGCTGGAGAAACCTTCCCTCACTTCCTGGTGCCGCGAAACGGGGCCACCTCCGCCAGCGCCCCGACCTGCCGGGGGACGCTGCAGGGAAAAAAGGGAGAATTACCTCTCTGCTCGGATTTTCACTTGACAACAGCTTGGTAACAGTTGTAGACAGGCTCAGGTATTTAAAATACAACATTAAATGCACACCATTTAAGTCATTTGCTCTCAAAACTGTCACCGGGAGACAGGGGAAGTCACAATTAATCCTATACCGCTTGCCTTGTTAATTGACATGAGTTACGTTCCGCCAGCGAAGCCAAGGGATTACAGGTCTTACAGAAAGTGTGGACTTTGGCCTTTTCCGGGAAGAACCACATTTCTTTTACTCATTGCTGTGTACAGAACCAAGCATTGGATTCATCCTCAAATAATAAAATAATGTAATAAAGAAAAATAGTGAGCCCATTGGTACACTACACAGCAAGCTGAAATTTGTGTTGCCTCCAAACCCCGAGACGTGACACAAAGATCTGCAGCCTTACACGCAATTTTTCTTTAGGAAAGAAACCCTAATTTTCTCTTAGGACAGGGCTTGAGGCTTCAACCCTAGAAACCGACGTGGGGCGAGTATGACCTGTCACACAAGTGCAGGAGTTTTCCTACATTTATTTTCTTGCAGAATGTCTTTTTTTGTTTTTTTTTTTAATTATTTCTTTTTAAGCAAGAACTGTAACAAATCCCCATTTAAAAGTCTAATTCTCAGACCAGATCTTAAGTCGTTGCTCAGTTTCATACAAGCTTTCATCTCTAAATCTAACAGCCACAAATTGGAGAACTTGATTAACTTCAGGCTAACTAATTTTCCTCAGACTAGAGTCCCCCCAGATTTCCTGACATAAAAACTATTCTCACTCTCGCTTAATATTATTGTGCAGAAAAAAAAATTATCCACAGCTGAGCCCAAGACTTCCATAAATAATGCAAATGCTAAATCTATAGATAGCTTTGTAACATCACCAAGGCAAGTTTTAAACAGGAGTGGTTCCTACTCCAAGGCTTAGAAACAAACATGGGATTTCCAATTTCTATTTTCAGGGAAGCATCTAGGGATGTTGCAAAGAGAAGCCTGAAATTTGAGAAGCCACTGCTCCTCTGAGGGAATAACCCCACATGAACGCACGTTTTGATTTTAAACCTGTTAAGCCTTGACTGCGGAGGGTCAGATCCACGGCTGATCGCACCAGGTTACCCACAGCAGGCCCATCAGCACCACCTACGTACCACGCCGCACTGAATTAGGGAAAAAGGGAAGTTATCAGTGATTATAAAAAATTAATTAATGACCCAAAAGCAATCTGAGGATACTCCTATGAGGAAGGAGGGCCGTGAGGGCCGGGCCTCGGCCCCACACACGCACCGGTCCGGTCCCGGCCCAGCCTGCCCGCGGCTGTGGTGATCGGAGGAAACTGCGGCCGCGGCCGCAGCCACAGCCCTTCACCGCTCCCAAACCGGAGCCTCGCCCCGGAGCCGCCGCCGCCACCGAGCCGCCCCTCAGCGCCGGGCGCTGCCGCTTTAAGAACGAGTGAGGGGCTCGGGCCGCCCTCCCCTTCCCCTCCGGAAAATGGCGGCTCCCAGGGGAGCTTCAGCAGCACCCTCCTCCTTCCCACGTGACCGCCGAGCGCGCTCGCCTGCCGCCTGTCCCCGCCCCCTGCCTCTCGCCGATTGGCTACCGGGGCCCGGCGGCGGGCGGCGATTGGTCGGCGTTGGCGCGCGAAGGGGTGCGCGGCGCCGGAGCGGCAGGCGGCGGGGGCAGGAAACAATAGAGCCCGCGGCCGGAGGGGTCCGAGCAGGGAACGGAGGAACCGGCCGCCCGTCTCGCCTGGCCCAGCCCGCCCCGC